GTAACAGTTGTTAAATCAAACAGTCACTAAGTAAAATCACAACTACTTACTATTTTCTTCAGTTTTCCTTTGCTTTACAGATCTGCAAACATCATAAATGTAGGGATTCATCATAAAGTTACTTTTTCAACACAGTTGTAATTGTGAACAGTTGGATTTTTGGATAGGAGACCAGTATGAAATCCCATGCTATAGATTAGATTGTGAAGTTTAAAAAAAAAAACCATACCAAAAGAAAACAATGGAAAACTACTTCCAAACTGCAACCAAGAAAACAATGTAGACATGTCCATTTAATCAGCAGGCATTTAGCTTGACTCTATGAAATTGTACTATTAGTATGGTTCTAAATGTATTTAAATGTTAACATAAATGAAATCAAGTTTAGTGTTATTTTTTTGCTGTGGTCTCTGGCATGCCATTCAAAGATCAGCTGGGGGTTTTGCCTCTAAAAAGACTTCTTGAAAATGATTTCTGCATCCAAAGATATAGAACTCTATAAAAGAAATTAGAATGAGCTGTTGCCTTAATACATATCTATTATTTTTCTTGCAGATATCACAAAAGCCTTGATTTTAACTGAGATTGGTCCAAAGCGAGATCCTGACACTCTGAAAGTCTTTCTCAGTAACATGGAACGATTGCTAAAGGCACAGGCACATGGGTAATTCTGTTTCCTGGAAAATTAATAAACTTAGTAACAAGAAAATTGTTAATATAATATTTCGGTTAAGTAGTGCAGTCAGAAATCCAGTCAGCCAAATCAACAGTTTCATAGGTATTCAAATGCATATATGGACTGTGCCATCAATAGCACCCCTCGTACTGTATATCAAGAGAATTCTACCCCTGCTATCACAGTCTCCTTTTTTGCACTGAATTCATGAATTCCATCACAAAAATAAGCTGTGTTTGGCATAATGTTAGACTATAAAATGTATTTAATGCCTGCTTCCCTCTTCATCTTTATTGCACTTGGCTCTTTAAAGAAAGTGTTGTCTGTGTAAAATATCATGTTCATACTGGACATCAAGGATAAAAATCTGTAAAACAAGTAAAAATGTTGAGTCCAATATTTGGAAATGTATGTCATTGCACAATCACTTCATTATGAGCAAATGTTTAATGTTATTTGGAATTTTTTCAACATTTATCGCAGGGTTCGTGTTATTGGAAGTGCTACTTTGGCACTCTGTCATTTAGCATCTGGGGCTGCAGATGCATATTACCAGTTTGGCTTACATTGTTGGGATTTGGCAGCAGCTACTGTTATTATCAGGGAGGCAGGTGGAGTTGTGATAGATACATCAGGTAAGCAAATATATTTTAAGAAGTACAAAGTATGATTTGCACATGATACCACTCCTTCAAATTCAAAAGTTTATTATTTTTTTTTGCCACAATCTCATTCTAGACTTTCCTGGAAGTCCAGCCTTTAGAAAAGAATGTTCAGAAAAGTGTGAGTCCACATTGGGGGCCTTAGAAATGGGGAAGGGCAGGGGTCCCCAACCCCCAGTCCATGGACCAGCACCTGGCCACAGCATACCAGAAACCAGGCCGCATAAACAACCAAAGCCCCATCTCCGGGATGCAGGCAGCACATAAAACCACACTACCACCGGTCCGTGGAAAAACCTTTTTCCACAGAACCGGTCCCTGGTGCCCAAAAAGTTGGGGGCCGCTGTTCTAGGGGTTTAATGTACAGTTTTAAAAGTTTGCAGATACTGTGCTTCTTATTGTACAGTTGCAGTCCCTAATGGCTTATTGTATTATTATGATGGGAAAGTCAAGTTGGCTCAAAGCAAGACTTCCTACATGTATCCCACAAGTGTTTTGGGTGATATCAAGATGGACTTTAGGACAGGAAATGTCTGTCTTACCTTTCAGACAACCCCTGTTCTATTCATACTAGTTCTCCACCTACTTCTGGAAGGAGGAAAAAAAGACCAACACTCAAAAGAAAAAATTGGTATTTCTAAGCACTGCTATGGAGCTTAGGTGAAAGGGATTCTGAAGGAAGAAGGAGCAAGAATGAGAAACTTTGTATATCAGAATAAAGTTTAGTAATGTTGTTCATATATATATATATACACATACATACATACATACATACATACAGTACATACATATACACCAGATAAATGCACATAGTGGACTACACAAAGAATCGATGTCTTCATCACAAAAGAAACATCTAAACTATTTTTCAATAATTTTTTCTCCTAGGTGGACCTTTAGATCTGATGTCATGTCGAGTAATAGCAGCAGGTACCCAGGAGATGGCCTCATTCATCGCTCAGGAAATACAGACTATTCACTATGGACGTGATGATGAGAATTGACCAGACATCAACCTAACATCATATGAAATATGACCTTTTGGAAATATTTCACTTCTTTTAAGATGAATGGCTTTTAAAAACTGTTTCTTGTACAGTTTGTAAATCAAACATATTATACAAACATTTTAGTTGCATTTTAGGAAGGTGAAAGAGGTGTATTTGGGCATTTGTGTGTGCATGTGTGTATGTGTGTGTTTGGGACCTTTCCCTCTTTTTAATGAGAATATTTTTCAGTTACTTTTTTTTTAATATTAAAAGCTCTTTGAGGCTGTAATAGAAGTGGGGATGTTTCTGGTTTCACATAGAATGAGAAATAAACTTTATGTTTCAGATCTCAGGTTTTTTTTTTTGGTGTTGTTCCATGACAAGGAACAAGTAGTGCCTCAAGTGCCCTCATCCAAAAATACTTGAGTGAAAGTACTATTTTTTTCTAAATTTAAAACAGACCTAATGAGCAGCTCTTGAGATAGTTACATTTATTTATATGGTACACACACAAGTATGATAATAGTACATATTCTTAGAAATATGTATTATCCTTGGATAAGTAAACAGGTACTAAAACAGCTGATTAAGGAATGATTTTTTTAAAAAAAACATTCAAACATTCTTTGGCTTGATTCAAACCCTAGACTATAATATGTTTTTAAAAATAACATGGAAGATTCATCAAGATGTAACTGTTCACAAAAGTTTATTACTAAGCACATAGGTAGCCTGATACTGTACCTAGTCTATAATCAGTGGTGATTATGTGAATGGAACGCTGTATATTTTGACCACTGCTGGATATCAAATGTCCAAGTTACATCTCTTGGTGACTTCATAGTTATTCTTGATTTTCTTGATAGCAATACAGAAGTGATTTTCTATTGCCTTCTTCCAGGATAGTGTTGCATTTGTTTGTTTACTTCTACGGTAGTCTAAAGCCCTGGTATTTTCAGGATGTGTTCCTCTGCAATCTTAATTAGACCCACCTCCGCTTAGCTTTCAAACCCAGGCAGGTGCTATTATATGCTGAGATGGCCATTGTGTATCCTTGAATGATTATTGTGGAGAAAAGTAATCTATCAAATTTAAAACTAGCAGAGAGATTCCTGCAATGTTGAGTTAGTATTCCTTGAAAAGTGCTTTGTAGCTTATCCTGTGGAACAGAACTGAAAAGAAGTACCTCACTATTATACAAAAATTGTGGCTGGACATGTTACAAGAACTACTGTTTTCTTGAATGGAAATGGGCATGACTTGGGCTATCATAAGCAGCACATAAGGTGGCAAACTTTTAGAACTTTGGTTTACATAATGAAATGTTGCATATTTCCAAATAAATGCCTAAGAAACAGAAATTACAATGAAAGGGATCCTAGCCTAATCTTTTCACTGATGTCTTGTTTTCTATATTTGAGTATTATAAATTGTTGTGATAAACTCTTATGAGCCCCCCCCCTCCCGGAATTCCAACTAATACAATCTAGGAATAGTTTACTATCTCCCTAGATGTCAAAATTAGGCTTTAGATTTATGTGAACTAGAGTTACTGACAATGACTCTATAGATTAAGTGCTGGTTCTGATAATCCATGTTCTATCCAAATGCAAGAATGTTACATTGGCCATAGTGTACCTTGTCTCAATATCTTTCAGTCCTAAATGCAGTGCTGATAAATGGCACTTATGATACTTCTAAATAAATATCTTTTTATGAATTTAATTTAAACCTGAGCCAGTTATCCCTGTATGTATGAAACTAAGAATTTGGCCCATTCTCTTAAATATTGAAAATATCTTTTCAGAGGTTTTGAAAATTGAATAAATGCTTGTTTAAAAAAATGTGTATAGTGGATTGGATCCAAATTTAATTCTAGTAAAAATAGAGCTATTAAAATCAATAGCACCTCATTTAAAAACATGTTTGAAATAAAGAATTTGCAGCTGACTAGTTTTTGTTGCAGGCTAGCCTTGCCGCTGTAGAATTTGATGACAATTATTAAAGGAACCACTGAAGAAGAGATTCTTCCACTATTCGATATTGCCAAAAATTTGCCTCCCCTAAATCGATCTTTGTATGTGTGCAAAAGTTCATCAAAGGTTTAACTGTGTGATGAGAACTTTGTTACTCATTGTTAACTGTGTTACAATAGCAGTTGCCATTGAATCACTTCTTCCTTTCTGTGCCACTAATGCGCTTTCTGTATGAATTGTCTCATTTTTCCATATTAAAGAGCTTTGTGGTTTGAGTACTTAGAAAATGTGACATATCTTAAAATATGAAATTTTGAAGTTAATGTGTATAATAAAATATGTATTGTGCAGTTAAATCAGAAGGGCCTAAGAATGCAGGTGAAAAACTACTAAAAACAAAAGCCATCATTAATTCTACTTCAGTAAATTTATTTCAATCCCTTTGGCGAAAGATGCCTCTCTTCACTCACCAACTACATAACAGTGAAGAAAACAGGAGCATTCTCCATCCATCTCCCCTTATGATTGGAAAATTCCTGCCACTTTACTTCTTTCCTGTCTGTAGTCATCAAGATACAGCTGAGAATCAGACGAACTTAATAACTGAAATGTTAAATGAACTGAAACATTAAGAAGTAATATGTAAATAAGATATTAGGACAGGATCATAAAATATGATAAACTGCCATTGCACAAATGTTTAAAATTGATAGTGTATGCACTTTTATGCACTGTTGCTTTTATAACAGCACTTCGGAACGTTCAAAAGCACTTCCTAAGTATCACTTGCAAACCTTATAGTATTCTTCTAAGATATTCCTCCAATATTCCCCTTCTATAACAAAACATAAAAGGATTAGATTATAATCTGCCTAATGACTAATTTAGTGGCGGGTACAAGATTCAACCAGAATTTGCTCTTAGTGACATAGGGGCCAAACTATATGTTATGCTACAGCTGTACTCTGGTGCACATTACTTGGGTTAAGAGTCAAAAAGATGCAAAATAGGATCTGAAGCTACATGCCCATTTTTTCTTTAGTTACAAAAGCGATGAGGAAAAATATTTAAAATGTGTGAAAGAAGATACCCGCCTCTATTGTATCAGTAATTATTGAAGACTAATTCACAGAACTTTATGCATTGGTAGAATATAGGCACTAGATTTAGATTTGATTATGATCCACATGAACGGTCCCATTTATCCCTTTAAAAAAGTGATGTGGGTAATAATCTGAATAGAAAACATGGAAACTAGGAAACAGAATAATCTTTCTATCGATCAAAAAGAACATATCTTGTTGTGAATTGAATATTAAAATCAGTAACAATATGAAGCAGGGATTTGTCTGAAGCAAATCTGGATGGAAATGTGTTAATTTACCCATGTACCAGAGTTACATTTTTTAAAGAAAAAAAAATGATATATGAAGGCATCAAATAAGGATTTCACATTTAGTATTCTTAGTTTTCCCAACCTTCATTTTCCAATACAATAGTTTCTAGATAGTTTAATAGCTTAGCCATTATTTTCTTATATATGTTTTATAACAGGGCAGATAACCTAAGCCTCATAGGCTAATTTCCATTTTTTGTGCAATGGATCGGGTCAGATGTCTGGGAAGAAAAGCCCCCCCAAAAAGGCTACAACAGTATGTGAGAAAAAATGGACGTCTTTACCTTCTTTGGGTTCTTATCACAGCCCCCTACTGTTTATCCCTGAGAAAATGTATGGTTCTTGAAAATAAAAGTGTGCCTACCTGTGCTTTACAGAAAATATTTTAGGTGGAAATATATATATAGCGGAAATTACTAGGCCATCATGTGGTAAGGTGACCTATTATTTTGCATGTATAAGGTATTCAAGAGCTGTATGGTCATGAGTTTTTGTGCATCTTTGTTGCAAGAACTCTGAAACTTAACCGGTTTATGCTGTTTATATTTACATTATGAGCCATTTGGTGTTATGTTCTTGTTCAGTTACAAACTCTGTATTACTGGTTGTCTGCTTTTAATCCAGACATTTCTACCTCGTAGGGGGCTATGAGGAATAATGTGTAATTATTATTCAATAGAATTAAAGTTGTTTCCAATGGATAAAGAACTATATCATGATATCTAGAATTCTTATTAATGTATGTTTGTCAAAATAGCTTCATTTTCCAATAAAACCAAGAGGCAAATGTGTATTATCCATGTTTTTCTGTTATTTTTTAACTTAAGAGGAATTGTACAGAGGCCTGATCCAGATGTGTGTGGGAACTTACCCATTTTCCTCAGTCCATTTGTTTAGAAGAATCCTGCCTCACAAAAATATAATTTTTTTAAAAAAACTCAGCAGTATACAGTAAGTTAATTTTTCTAAAGAAAGAGGTAAGAATAGAAAAAGCATTAGAAATTCAGATCAGGATATGGCCAACATGTACTTCATTCTAAAGGAGAAAGGGCAGCTATAAGATGTGTATTGTATAACTTAGCCAGGATTAGCCAGAGTCGCCATCTTTAGAAAACACTAGCCTAGGTTGAGGCAAATCGATATTCTATAACAGCAGCCCCCAATCTTTTGGACACCAGGGACCGGTTCCGTGGAGAGTGGGACTAATTTCATGTGCTGCCTGCATCCCATGAATGGGCTTCACTTGTTTGTGCAAACTGGTTTCTGGCATGCTGCGGATCAGTGCTGGTCCAAGGATGAGGAGTTGACCTGGTCTATAACACAAGTGGAACTACTTAGCTTCTATAGTACCATAGTTTTCTTCCTAGTAGAACTGCAAGCAGGGGGGAAATAAAAACAATAAAAATATTAAATATTTCACAATCAAGTCTGAGATTATCTGATGTCTAATTGTGAGTATTTTTCTCCTGCAGGATTATTTTTTTACTATTATGTTTACTACCACAATGTCAATTGCTTGTATTATTTGTTTTTGATTCTTGTAAGCCACCCAGAGTCACATGGAAGTGGGCATCCATGCAAATTGAAATGATAGATTACAATCCTTTTCTATCTGTCTATCTAAAATAGATCAGGAGAAATTTAGATAACCCTTAATTTACTTGAGTTCAATCTGAGAAAGGCATGTGAATGCTCAGGTAGTTTGTAGATGTTATGTCAAGGCTAACCTGTGATACTGTATCAGAATTCTTGTACAATAAATGAGGTATTGGAAACTTGGCATATTTTTAAAATAAAATACATTGATAAATAAGAACTATATCAGTTTATCAAAAATAAATCTTTTTTATTAGTTTTCCATGTTAGTTTTCTATAAAAAAAATAAGTCTTGCCAAATCAACTTTCATAGTTTTAGTTTGGTGAATCATAGTGTGTTCAGGAAATAATTCCTTCACCTTCACCTAGTTCTGACCGATTCCACGCCTCCATTTTGGCTTTACTAAAATTTGTCTTAAGCTGTCCAGCACACTATTAGATCTGGGACCTCAGTAAAGCAACATCCTAAACTGCATGGAAAGCTATAGTGATATACAAGTGAAAATGGGTATCTCTTCTCTCCAGACCTTGTCAGAGGTTGGAAAGAAAAATAAGCATAGTGGAAGGGTCAAAAGGATGTAAGGATAGTGTAGGTACATTGGTACTTTCTACACATTTTTATTCCTGTGCATTAACTGCCTGAAGGATGAGGATTTATGAATATAGCATATATAATTTTCAGCAAAGCATTTGACAGTCTCTCAGAATTTGTTGACAAGAGTAAATGTGATTCAGATGATCCTGTTCTTTGACAGATCCAGATTGGTTGAACAACAGAGCTATTAACAGCTCTGGTCAATGTGAAAGAAAGTAGCACAGGAAGTACAATGTCCTCTAATGTGTGAGTTTATCATAAACTGAGTTTGCAGGGCAATGCTATTGTGAAACAGTTCATGCAGTTTTATACAGCAGAAGCAGTACTATAAGAGCATGAGAACAGTTCCAAATGCTACTCAGATCATATATGAATACTGTGTCTGCTCTGTGTATCATAGTTCAAGAAACTCACTAATATGCTGAAGGTGCAGTCTTACAGTACAAAGCTTGGCATATCCAAGCAAATCTGGAATGCAGTAACTTTTGTCTGAACATTTGGAGAACTGTTGCCATTGTGTATCAATAATAATGCTCGGCTGCCTGGTGGATTTCTATGGTCTTCAGAGTAGCCAGGGACAGAACAAACCAAGTTCTTCAAAACATGGTTTGAAAGAGTTAGTTATGTGTAAAAGAAAAGGCTTGGGGAGAGGGCGAGGGAATGATAGCAGTCTTTAAGCATTTAAAATATGAATGGTGATCAAGAGTTTTGTTTTCTAATCTAGAATCAAGAATCAGAGACAACACCTCCTCTGGAGGAGTAAATACGAAATTATGAAAGATGGATCAGAATAAAGCCATGCTTTTTCTTGTAGCATAGTACAGCTGTGAAAGGTGAAGGGAAATAGCTTCAGATTATAAATTTGTAGACCACGGACTGCAAAAAGATCCAATCGGCCTAGGCCCTAGTGCCAATAAAAGCATCCGGCACCAACCACCCAAACGAAGATAAGCATTCTCTGAAATCGCTTCCCTTTTGCGTGTTGGGTTTCTGTCCCTCTCTTTCGCCTCCGATCAATGGGCGGTTCTGCTGCGTAAAGGACAAGGAGGGCGGGGCGCCTTTGCTCATAAGGAGTAGCGGAGGGGGTCATAGGTGAGGAGGAACAGAAGCCGACCATGGCTGTGGAAAGCGCTCGTGATTATGCGGCGGTTTTGTTGAGGTAGGTGTGCTACAACTTAAGCCGGCAACCATCCCGTTCGCGGAACTATGTTGTGTGCGTGTGCGGTGCGCGGGTATTTTAGTTACCAAGGCAACCTGTCGGGGTTTTTTTTGCAGCGCAGCTGGACTCGCCTCCCTTGTCGCCTTCCGACAGTGTGGAATTTTTTAGCCAGGGAAGCGCCTTTTTCTCGCATTTTTCTGTTGCACGGCGCCATATCTCGCCCCCCGAGACCCAGCCACGATTGCAGCGTTGGTCCTCAGTCCGGGCTCGGCACCAAACACCGACTGGTGGTCCTCCAACTAGGCGTTTTCCGGCTCCCACTCCTCTTAGTTGCTTCTCCGCCGCCTCGTTGGCTAGTGAATCAAGAAGCGAATGGGGGTGTCGCCCTAAGAGGAGCTCAGCTCCCGGGCGGAAAGGAAGCTACCTTGCTCGCTCCCTGTGCCTGTACTCGCCTCGGGTGCCTTTTGCACTGTGAGAAAAGACGAGTAAGCTGCTTGTAGCGCCTCGCTGCCTTACAGTGATTTAAAGTATTGCTAAAGTAAAATGGCTTGTTGCGGTGGCTGCCCTAGCTGACCAGGCTCATCGTGAAATTGCAGTTACATCTGTACTCCAGAAACTGTCCAGTTCTTGGCATAAGCTAGAAAGCATGGTACTGTACTGTATATTCGGGAGCCTTTTTTTTATTATTATTGGGATGGGATTCTGAGCCAAGTGTGAGTTTTTAACTATTAAGCCCTTTAAGTAAAAACAAAAGCAGCGGACAAAGTTAGGGTACGAGCCAATGTGTTGTATAATCCCAGGCATTTTTGTTAATTCAACAAACTAGGTCAAGTGTTAATCAGCCACCTTCGGTGAAGACTAAAAATTGAAATAAGGAAAGAAAAAATACAAAGTTCATGGGAAAAAGATGTGGGCTAGAAGTGTAAGAAAAATAAGACTGGTGTGTTGGACAAGCATACGTTGACTTTGCTGAGAACAAAGCACTACGGGTACTACCAATTTACAACCAGATGTTAGCACCCATTTAAGTTATGACAGCCACCCCCAAAAGGTATTTACCACCATATTCCTAACTTACAAAGTCCAGGTTCCCACTCCTTGTCGTTATGTGATTGCATTTTGGGCTTTTGGGAACCAGCCATTTGCAGTGCCCTTCAGTCATGTGACTGTAATTTACTGGAAACCAGAGTATATTTTTCTGGAAACCAGAGTATATTTCTAGTTTTTTGGGGGAAATGTTCTATACCAAACTATGGGTTTGTTTAATGACCACTGTAAAAAAAAGGTTGATGATCCACTTTATGACTGTCAAAACTCAATTATGGTCATAGGTAGAGGGCTCTGTACTGTACCAAGTAAAGGCATCACCAGTGTTGACCTCTAAAATTTTTGAAAAAGCTTCACTTAAAGCTTGGCTTGGAAATCATGTTGTGAGCTTTAATCACAATTAATGTGATTTAATACCTATTTGACAATTTTTCCATTGAAAACCTTTGCTAGTTAATCTGATCCATCAATTACACTGTTTTTTGCATAAGGCCCTCAGGAACTTAAAGCCTTTCTGGAGACAAATGTCACATAACAGAATGAACTGAAATACTGAAAGCCTTTGTACTTGGAATCACATTGAAATTTGAGCAAACTTCTATTTTGTAAGCTAACAATGCAATTTGGTGCCATTTTGCTCTAATAAACTGTGACTGATTTTTTGAGCCTATGGTATTAGATCAAGAGGTGATGAGTTTCTTTTTTTTTCTTATTATATACAGAAATGTTAAATACAACTGCAGCTAGAAGTTCAGAGGAAATTTGGGCAAAAAGGTTGTTGATATGCTGCTATAACAGAGGTGCCATTTTAGTCATATACAGTGGCTTGCTTCTTAGTAATACCCCATATTGCTGCAGATTTAACTTGGACTAACAAATAGACGGGGTTATTAAGAGGCTTAAGAAATATGGGGCAACATATGGAAGAAAGTTTAACTCTATATTGCATCATGGACAGCGTCACAAGTGATCTATCAAAAGATATATTTCTCTTGACTTGAATATTATTGCTGTAATTGGCATCAGGTTTGCCTGAAGGAAACACCTGTATCTAGGGAAATTTTGGCTAAGTCCCCACTGGCAATCAAGTGAAGACTAAAACCAACCTTCTCTAATCAAGATCTTTTCAAATATGTTGGGGTAAATTCCTAAATTAACCATATGTAAGAGCTTGATGGATAACTTAAGCTGTATCTTACTGTAGGAATTATATTAGCTAATGTAATCAGTTGGCCAACTTCCTACATATAATAACTCTCCCCCTCCTCTGACAGATCTCTAAAGGTTGACAAACCTTTTGTGTGGATTAGTCGTAGTTTCCTGAAAATGGAAGCAATATTCTTTGGGGATTCTTTTTAAGATATGTGAACTTTGTTTTTGTTATTCCTTTTAGCTACCTTCCTGTAAACTTGAATTAGCAGAACATTTTCCTTTAAGTGTCCTGGTGAAAAATCCTGAAAAAGCTACCAGTTTTGGCAATCTGCAGCTGGATTTAATGTCATTCTTGCTATGCCCATCAAATCCACAAAGAGTTTAGGGATGTGCGTTTAGTCTATTAATTCTCTGCCCCTGCATTAGGAAATAAAGCCATTGTTGGTTGGTACTTACTATTAGCTTCATCAATTAAACTCTTCAACTGGTTGTTAATAAAAAAACTGGTGAAATTTCTAGCTTTAGTTCAAGTAAAATAAAATATAAAAATCCCATAATGTGTTAGTATTAGATATAGTTACAATCCATTTGTCTCAAATTCCTGGGTATGCAGTTAACAAGTAGGCTGGCTTGGTTGCTCAACAGCGAGACACTGGTGAAGCAGGCACAGCAGCGCCTGCATTTTCCGAGTCGCGTGAGAAAAGCACATCTTCCTTCCCCTGTTCTTACCACTTTCTACAGAGGGACGATCGAGAGCATCCTGTCATACAGCATCACAATCTGGTTTGGAAGCATCACTGCTTCAGACAGGAAGGTGGTGCAGAGAGTGGTGAGGATGGCTGAAAAGATTATTGACAGTTCCCTCCCTTCCATCCAGGACATTGCACATAAGCGTTGCTTGAGCAGGGTCCGCAAGATTGTCTGGCACACTACACATCCTCTTCACGACCTGTTTTCTTTATTACCTTCTGGGAGGAGGCTTCGCGGTATCCGAAGCAGAACATCCAGACTCACAGTTTTTGTTCCATACAGTATTAACCTTGTGAACTCTAAAGCTTCCTCCTTTTGTTATGTATTCAAGATGGACAGCGATTAATATTTATATGTTACTTATATGTAAGGGTGTAGGTCTATACATATGTTGTATGTAGTATGTTTAAATATGTGTTATGTATGTGTACACTTAGAGAGCAAGCAACTAAATTTCATTTTTAATATGTGCCATTGTGCCCACAGTAAAAAATGACAATAAAAGTTATCTAATCTAATCTAATCTAATCTATCTATTTATCTATCAGCTGGACACTAAAGCTAGGTTGGAGAAATATGGTATAGTCTCAGATCTTTGCTTTCTCAGCTGCTGGGTCATCATAACTAAGCTGGCAAAGCCTCCAGATATTACTATTCCAAAGATGTAGCACTAACCTGGAAACTTCCCCCAAATGAAATTTATCTTTAGGGAGTCGGCAAACAATTATTAATTAGAATAAAATAATAAACTTGCTAGCTGGGTCAAGAATTGCCTTGATTCCCTCTAGAAAAAGGAATAGGGATCCAAGTTAGGAGTTTCAGACAAAGACTGTGTTTGGCTTTTCTGGCCTAAAATAAAAATTAAATTTGAAATATATTCTTGAAAAACAAAAAGCTCATGCCACACCCTTCTTTTTTTTTTAATTCAGCAAGCAGTTTGAGGAATGAGCCATACTTTTAGCGATAGATTTACCAGTAATTTTGGAAAACTACAGCCTGCTTTTCTTCAAATATTTCTGGAATACAACTCCCAGAATTCCAAGTCAGCCTGACCAGTTCATGCTGGCTAAGAATTTCAGCAGTAGGAACCACAATATAACATTGGCTCCAGATTGGAAAAGGCTGCTACTTGAAACTTTTTAACTGAAACGTCCATAGTCATTAGGGAGATTAAGTAAAGAATTACTGTATTTCTGTTTCAGATCTTTAGTATCAGTGGGAACATCGGTGGGATCAGTAACAAGACAAGCCCTGCTTCCATGTGCAGCTCGGCCTTTTCGTGTTTGTAACCATGATAGAAGCAGCCGAAGAGGAGTTGTGGCGAGCAGTTTACAGGAGCTTATCAACAAGGTTTGAGTCTCTAAAGAAACATAAGCCTGCCAATCATGCTTAAGTATTCTTGTTCCAGCTCCATTAGAAGTTTCTGTTGTGATCCAAATGTATGCAATAGCTTCTGCTTATATTCTCTAGATCAGGGGTCCTCAACCTTGGCAACTTTTAAGACTTTGCTGGCTGAGGAATTCTGGGAGTTGAAGTCCACAAGTCTTAAAGTTGCCAAGGTTGAAGACCCCTGCTATAGATAACCTACAGTACCTACAGTATATTACATGTTCCTGAATACACTGTCAGGAAGAATTATGATCTTTATTTGTATTTCGTGGTAGATGGTGAAATGCATCTTCTACTTTATAGGAAAGATTCACTGAGTTACTTGCAGTAAATCAAAAATTATTTCCACCTGACTTATAGCATGCCTTTCATAAAGGGGCATTTAAAATTAAACTTTCTTGTATTCCTTCATCTCTAGACCTTGGATGCTTTAATGATAACTGCTGGGTTGATGACACTGGTTCTAGACGAAGATGGAACGGTGGTGGATACTGAAGACTTCTTCCAGTCACTAGGGGATAATACACAACTCATGCTTTTGGAGAAGGGACAGAAATGGAAGCCAGTAAGTGTTTTGCTCTAAAGTAGTGCAGTCCAACCAACAACAAGCATGATATATTTCTCTTCTGCATGTGTCTCCAAAGCTGTACTGCAAATCTCATTGAGTGAGGAGAATGGGGGGGATTGATACCTTTTGTTTGTCAGCTCAGTTTTTCTGAGGACAGAGGATAGAAAGTTTTATATAAATAAATAATGGTTTCAAGATCTATTCAAGTGTGCCCAGAACAATGCTTCCCTTCTTACTGTAATTTTTTCCCTATGATTTATAAAAGTGACCTACAATTGGTCTCTTTCCAAAAACTTTTATGAGATTCTTTTTTCGTTCTTTGACATTTTTCTCAGCTCTCATCTTTAGCGTTCATTTTATTTATGCCACATAAGTCTAGCTAGCTCTATCTTCAAAGGAAAGCATTAATTTTCTTATATTCATTACTAGTTTTCTTACTTAGCTGGCTGTCTTTCTGAATTCTGCAACTCCATAGAATTAAATTTTTATTACTAACTAGCTGTACCCGGCCACGCGTTGCTGTGGCTCAGTCTGGTTAAATGGAAAAGAAAGAAAAGAGAAAGCGCACGTTTGTAATATGTTTAATTTCACAATGCTTGTGGGTATGCTTTTACGTCCAACAGATGGCGCTGTTTTTTAAAAAAAGCATGTTTTACCTGTCACAGGTGTGACATCTATATAATAGTAGGTATATAAAAACATGCGCGTATTTGAATACAATGTTGTGTCAAAATTTCAAAGCAATCGGTGAAGAATTTTCGGAGATTTAAGACTTTGAACAAACGAACATTTACATTTTTATTTATATAGATAATACTACTATTCCATGACCTAAATAGGAACAGGATTTTTTCAGCTTTCTTGTCTCACTGTTTAGCTATGCCAGGGTCTTCAAACATGGCCCTTTTATGACTTGTGGACTTCAACTCCCAGAATTCCTCAGCCAGCGTGCCTGGCTGAGGAATTCTGGGAGTTGAAATCCACAAGTCATAAAAGGACCAAGTTTGAAGACCCCTGAGCTATACCATCTTCTCAGATCTGTTTCTATTGAATCTTGTCTTTAAACCATAATCTATTTTCTTTTATGAAATTGCCTGAATTTACACTTGTAAATATTTGTATATATATTTGCTATAGTTTAGTCTGTTGGTATCAGAAACTTTAGTATATTAAAACATGCCTTGACAAATACATCTATTCCAACCATAACAGCATATTATTACAGAATGGTAACTAATGCATGAGATTTCACTCTAGTGCTTTTTTTCTTCTATTAAAAACAAGTTAGCAATGTAAACTTAAGCCTTGTTTTTATGATGGTGATGACACTGGGCCTGCCATTGTCTATTATTATAACCTAATTCACTGGGTTATTGTAGCTAGGGGATAAGTAATTGTGCATCAGTCTTCTGTTTTTGAAGGAAAGATGAAATCTAGAACCATATCTCTAAGTTAAAAGAAGGGGGAAAACATAGACTTGTCCCAAACTTTCAGTATAGTCTAATGGGTATTGCAAATGTTTGGGTAAGAAGTCTAATATTTCCTGCATATTTTTCTGCATTTTGATATAGGGGCCAAATTATGGTATTGCAACAATACAGCAACCAAAGAGAATGGGAGTAGCAAATTTCACTTTGGATTTGTACAAATTGAATCCTAAGGACTTCATTGGTTGTCTGAATATTAAAGCTACCTTCTACGAAATCTATTCTGTGTCCTACGACATCAAGTGCACGGGAGCAAAAAGTATGCTAAGGTATTTATTAAATTTCTTTGCTGTCTTTCTCGCCACAAAGCAACGCTAGTATACATTTATACATTTACAAGTATATATTTCTAGTGTTGTATATGGAACAAAATGATCACAGATGTTTAACAAAACCCTTCTAATAGCTTATGTAACCAGAAAAACAGCATATTCTCCTTTTTGCTTTAAGAAGAGTTTATGGAAGAAGGCTTTGAATTCTTACAACCAAACTAGGGCAAAGTGTAGCCTTGTGTTTTTATTATCTTAAGCAGGTCAGAGTTCATAAGAGCAACCCTCCTGTTTGGAAGCCTGTCTGTCATAAGTGCCTATGGAACGACCACAAATAAAATATGAGCATATCTCATTGAACTGGAGGGATCAAGATAGATGCCCACCCCATAAATCATGAAGACCATTCTATGACATATCTCTCAGTCTAACCTATTTCAAGAGAGGTTATGAGGTGACAGTGATGTGTGAATTTAGTAGGGTGCATTTAACTTTTTTGAGAAAGTATAGAATGTAAGGGTAAGAAATGGCTACCTTAAGTAGAATCGCTGGCTTATTTATTTCCATACTTTAGTTGAGCAATATTGGACATTTTTCATTAAATCCAAATTCTGTTACAATAGGAAGAATAAAAATTTGGCAATAGAAATAATTTTGATAAGCTTCAGTTTATTGAAAAGTAATTCCATACTTGCTTTTGTTTAAACTCAGTATTGAAAACATAATAATTTATTCAATTTGTACCTGCCCAACTCGGTATAATATCAAAAAATTGTTCCAGCCTATTCCTACTTTAACTATTTTTATACAAGTAATAGAATTATCTGCTATGCAGATAGTTAAGGCTATAGAAACTAAAGGCCAAATGTTATTGTCCAAAGTTCTGAGAGTTAAATCTTCATTTTTATAATCTACATACTACTAAAACTCTAATTGTGTTCATCTGTTTGTCTGTACCCTCAGGCTAGCCCACACAGTGTATCACAACACACACAGTTTTTGAATCACAATACCTAAAGTCTCCTAACATAAAGAATGCATAAAATATCTGTGACCCAATATTCTGTGGAATTAAAATTTCCACAATGTTCAGCCCAGTTTTATTTGCAAAGTTATGGCCCTTACAGCATCCCTGTGGTCACAGGATCATACTTTGCAATGCTTCCTGTCTGCTTCCAACAAGCTAAATCAATGGGGAGACCAGCAGGAAATCAAAAGTCACTCCTACTCCTGCTTTCTTATCCACGATAAGTAAATATTGACTTGTAAAACTGTTTGCCACTATAGGTTTTTTTTTTTTACTGTTTATGATAAATACTTTTCTTAAATGATCACAGAACCATCTAGCAATTGGGCAAAAAATATGGTCAATATAAAACTTAATGTTCTTTTGCTAAAAAAAAATGACAAATGTGTCACAGGGTTGTCTGGTGGCATGTAAAAAACAACTATAATCAAGCAAGCAGTCTCTTAAAACATTTCTTAAATTGAGAAAATACAAAAAGTCAGTAATTCTGCTACCTTGATGTAGTTTACAATGAGAACTTAATATGCAGCAATAGATAGCTATAACATGACCGTTTCAATAATCAGACTGAGTTAAATTAAAAAAATTAACAACTGAAAAATTTTGAGGTTTTGGATATTGAGGCACTAGATGGTAGCAGTGTGCACAGTTTCTCATATAAGAACTTAATATGTAACTGCTGTTGAATGGGAACAGAAATACATTTCCCTGAATAAAATGGAAGTTGTAGCTTACGTATTAATATTTTTACATCTAAAAGTATTACTGTAGATCTAGCACTGATGTTTTTCTATGGTGAAAATAAGACAAAGACTTTTAGGATGCAAATCTCTAGAAGAAAGAAAAAGAGTTGCTTTAGAATTTATAGCATATTCATCATACAAGGAGCAACCTAATTTTGAAATAATAATAATATATTTAATAGTTTCTATCAGCAGTCATAATAACGTAACTGCCAAAAAAAATGCCACAAGTTTTTTGGTTAAAATATTACATATTCAAATGTGATAGAAACTTACTATTAAAAAGCATCTGATCTTGTGACTATTTTGTGCATTGTATTAAGCAAGTTTAATCATTGTTTAGTAGCCACAATTGACTATTAAGTTTGTACAATACATTTATCCAAAACAGGCAAAAAACAGGTTTGAGAGTCAAGCCAATATTAATATATTTATTGCCCTTAATAAACTATGGTATAGTACATATGTATAAAACCACAGTGCCACCTCAGTTAACAGCAAATAAACAGAAAAATCATTACAGCAAAACTGAAAATACAACATTGACCAAGCTTTTGTTAAAAAGATATTTTTAGTTTCAAGCAAATCTCCTTAGGGTGCCCCATAGCCATGAAAAAACAGACTGCCTTAAGAATGCAGATGACCTAAGAAAGTGCTTCCACTAGGAGCTTCTCTCAAGCTCTCTGACAATTGAGGACAATAGCATTTTGAAATTGACTATAACTATGAAAAGAGCATTAAAAAAATGCTGCTTACAATAGCACTACTTTGTATAAACTGGACCATCTTTGTCAGATAATGTATTGTTGTAATCCGTGCTCTGATAATCATCCAGTTGGTCAAGTGGGCTAAACCAGATGTTACCTTCTTCACAGGAAGATGCTTCGTTTTCTGTCACAGGTTGCCCAAGTAACAGGGCAACTTCTTCTCCACACCGGAACATACATACTACAAGTAATGGGTGATTATGAAGATGGTCTGCTTACGGATGCCAAACACTAAAGCAAACATAAGAGCCTTTTTAACTGTTTGTCTGTCCAGCCAACACTGTAAGCAGGTTTTGGGAAGGAGAGATTGAGTTACACCTTAATGTATTAAATATCTCAAGTTTAGCTTGGTACATAAATATACTTTAACGTTTAAGCTTTTATTTAAGATAATGATGTCATAATTGTAAGTATGGTCGGAATCTTTTTAATGTACTAAAATATTTAAATTTCCACTAGAAAGTGGTTCACCCAGAATAGTCATATTACACCTCAGAGAAGTTCAACATTAATCTAATTTCCATTTAAAACTTTCTCATTGTTGCTAATCTATAAATAAATGTCACATCTCAGTATTAAAAATGTTGTCTCTTATTTTTCAGGAATTGCCTCTTAGTTTGTAATCTTAGTTGTTCAAACTCTGGTTACAGTTGTTAAAGAAAGCTAATTTTGCCAACAAAAAAAAGTTGCCTAAGAGGATTTGACTTAATGGTTAAAACCAAGATGTTGGGTCTAACACAGGGGTAGTCAACCTTGGCTCTTTTATGACTCGTGGCTCAGGAATTCTGGGAGTTGAAGTCCACGAGTCATAAAAGAGCCAAGGTTGACTACCCCTGGCTAACATTTGTGTTAAGACATAGCCCCCTCTTTCCTCCTCATGCTGTCTCCCAGGCTGCGTATCAGCATTAGGATAAGCCTTGGCCTCGAAACGGCTAGGCTAGCAATGGACTGGTAACATTTCACTTGACAGAAAATATCAAATGTTTCCCCCCTTTCTGCATGGTGAAGCACAGAGTGAGAACATTCCATTTTCCTCCTATTGTTCCTTACTTAAATAAAGGTGTACAATTATTGTCCTGGTTCAAGAAGCATGGGAAGCTCCAGAATATCTATGGAAAATAATTATTTCAATTGATAGGAATGAATGCCGAATGAATGCAAGATACCTGGAAGTTACCCAAGAAGCAAGTTTTTTTTTTAAGGAACAGCTGGGGAAACCTGAGTCAAAAGACCTGGATGTAATGATCCTATGGGGAAAAAAACCCTAGGTGCCTAATGGTGAGCACATCTGATCAGTAGGACTGTTCTCAAACCTGCATATCCAGAGTTACTCCAGATTTCAAAGTATAGGGCTGCATTGCAATAGCAGTGACATCCAGAAACTAAAAAAGCACCCAGCGATTTGTCATCTTCTGCTGATAATATAACAAAAGGAAGATTATCCCTTAGTCCTGCAAAGAAAAGTAAAAGCTTTGTGGCTGCTATGAGACGTAGTTTGAGTATTCGTATTGACTAGGCCAGCCTTGCTCAAGTGGAGTTCTATGAGAGGTCATGAGTAGGAGCAAAAAATGTTTGAACATCATATACTGTGCAATGCTAGCTGTAGATATAATAAATTTTATGCAGGGTTCCCTGAGGGGAAAAAAGGTTTAGAAAGGTTGATCTAGGTCAGGGGTCTGCAACCTTGACAACTTGTGGACTTCAGCTCCCAGAATTCCTCAGCCAGCATAGCTGAAGTCCACAAGTCTTAAAGTTGTCAAGGTTGCAGACCCCTGGTCTAGGTTTAAGAGCCATAGTGGCGTGAAGAGTCGTGATGGTGCGGTGGTTAGAATGGGTAACTCTGCTGACGGCCAGCAGTTTGATTCTCACCGGCTCAAGGTTGACTCAGTTTTCCATCCTTCTGGGGTCGGTAAAATGAGGACCCAGATTGTTAGGGGCAATATGCTGACTCTATAAACTGCTTAGAGACGGCTGTAAAGCACTGTGAAGCTGTATATATATAAGTGCTTGCTATTATGCTTTGCTTCACAACATAGATGACTAGTTCCAAACAAGACATTAAGCCTGAATCACACAGAGCTGCCTAAATCAAACAAGGCTTCAGTGGCTTACATTCTATCCTATGTAAGTCCTATTGGTGTGGTTTGCTTATTTGGGGCTTCAGGCAACGTGTGAACCTAGTCCTTGTGTTTTGTAAATCACTGTTAGCATCTGATGTGTTGAGCAACTCAGAATTGGCATGGGCAAACTCTGGGTTAGCTTAAATGAATCAAGTTTAATAATGGTCCAGTTCTTCATCTTGTTGTGACTTAAACCCTTCCCAACATAACTCAAGTGAACAAAGGTTTTTAAAATAAGTTCCTTCATCTAAAAAATGGCAGTTTTGAGTGTAAAGGGGAAGGTTTACTGAGGTTTTCAATAGATACTGTATTATCTGTACTATTTCTTTGTGAATTATTTATTTGAAAAGAATGCAAAGTGAAATCTGTAAATGTCTCACATGCTGCTGACAGCTAATGGAAAATAGAAGTAGGTTGAAACAACTGAATTTATCAGTAGTCTGTGCCTTTCGTGTTTATTTGCAATCTTCAGCAGTTTTCTTATCCAGTAAAAAAAAACATGTGAAATTAATTGAAACAACTTCAAGTAGAATATTCAATCTCTGCATTGTCATGCATTAATCTGTTCATGAGACCATGCATTTATTTGAAACTACACAAATAGTTTTAGATAACAAATGGGCACTATATATAAATATAACAATTCTTCTGTAGTTCTTCTGCTCCATGAAACAAAGTAGCAATTACACAACTTCAGCATTCATTCCACAACACACACCCCCAACTGAACTGAAGGTGTGTTCTGTAGTTACAAGACAAATATTGTAACAACAAATTAAGGCAATAATTCTGCACGATACATTGTTTCTGGCACCCTCAAGAATAAGCTTCCTTCCTTGGTTGGGTAACCTGAGACTCAACACTGTAACTCCAAGCCCCCAGACCTTCTTTTTGTAGCCTCTGAATTTCTCTGTGGTTTGCTGACTATGAGTGATGCAATTTTCTGATGTTTGACAACATCAAACAATATGAAACTAGTGTAAACTCTTGATTCAGGGTAGGTAATGCACAAAACCCCTATACTTTCCAAAACCCTGTCCAGCCAACATGTATGACATATATCATGGTTTAAACCAAATGTTTACCATCCAAAAAACATAAGGGGCATCTCCCACCTCTAGTCAGTTGTTCAGTCATTCAGTCACTTTCAATATGGGACTTCCTCTAGAGAGCATTCAGAAGTTGTAGCTAGTCCAGAATCTGGTAGCTTGAATATTTATGGGTGAACCTTGAGACACCCATGTAACACCTCCCTCTAAAGAGGTATACTGATTCCCAGTTGGCTTCTGGATGCAATTCAAGGTGTTGATTTTCACCTCTACAGCTCTTCATGGTACTTGATATCTATGGGACTGCCTTCTCCCAGTAATATGATTGACTGTTAATAACTACCATACTTTTTTGAGTTTTCTAAGCTTATGATTTTGTCATGGTGGCAATATCAGCCACCTGGTCTTCTAGTTGCTTCTTTTCATTGTCTTCAATTTTTCTAAGCCTTGGAAAAATTGATTTCCCCTTGTCTGCCTGTTCTTTTTGCAACACGCTACCTCTTTTTATTCGCGTGCTTAAGATTACAATAATATGATGATATTAAGAACAAATACGCTCCTATTCATCATGGCTCACCTAATGTTAGGCAGACATTGAGTGCATTAAAGACAGACCATTGTAGAATGAAGCCCTGGTATATGGTATCAAGTTCATCTATTGTGGTTAATCTGGAAAATAAGAAAAGTGACATTTTTTTCCATAAGGTTGACTTTTCTGTACAAACAGACTCTTGTAGAGCCCCACATATACAGTACTGTGAAGTAATGCAGACCTAAGTAGGCTGCCTGCCTTTCTGAGAATGAGTCCATGGACTACTGAAAACCATTAGTATCAGTTCCACTTTTCCAGGAACCGCTAATTTTTATGGCAAATATTTAGAAAGTTATTTTAAAGATGGTTTGTAAGTGAAGGTTAATTGTGCATTCTGCCTTTTCTGGGCTAATTAATTCCTCTTAATGGTAGAAAGGATTTCGAGTATGTGTTAGAATCTTAATTATCATATACATCACATCTTATTTAGGTGCTTCAAGGAAGTTTTTTTTTAAAAAAAATCTAATTTTCTAATCCGCTAATTACTTTCTAATTATTGAATACTCTTCATTTTAAATGTTTAGTGCAATGTTGTCCTTTATATAGATATAATGCCAATCATTTTGCATGGCTTTGAAATATATTTCTATATGCACTATTCCTGGTACAGTTCTCCAAATGTTATATTACTAAAGGAAAGTAAGACGTAAGAGCCCATATAAAATATTAGTTTGACAAGGATAACCTATTGATTTCAGATACTGCATATTTGTTTAAAGGAATATATGGTAGGATTGGTCTTGGCCATGTGGTAGGAAGGAACAAACAATTAATGGGGAGTTCATAGAAAAGATCCCATGGTCTTGAGAAAGAGGGAAGTATGAGAAAAAAGCTAAAAATACCTCACATTGGTTTTGTTTAGTTTACATGGGACAGAGAAAACTTTGGACAGAATTTCAAGGCTGATGTCAGGTCTTCAGGATAGCCAAAGTCCAGAAGCAAGCACAATGGGAATTCCAGGAATGGAATAATAAAATCTTGAAGAACATCAACAATAGAAATAAATCAAAATAATAATTAAAAAAATCAGTTACTATAAATCAACCGTCCTTCACCAATTCAGTGTAGCTACAATTGAAAGCCTATTGGCATGGAAAGAAGACACAGAACAACGGTATTGAAAGATATGCTGGTGGCCAATTGCAAACCAGGCAGATTTTAAGTTGTTGCTATTTCCTCAAAATGTCCCTTATAGTTTAGTGCAGGGGTAGTCAACCTTGGCTCTTTATGACTCGTGGACTTCAATTCCCAGAATTCCTGAGCCAGTGCTGGCTCAGGAATTCTGGGAATTGAAGTCCACGAGTCATAAAAGAGCCAAGGTTGACTACCCCTGGTTTAGTGCCTGAATATTTAAAGGATTGCCTTTTCTATTACGAACCTGTCCAGTTGTTGAGATCTGCAGGGAAGCTCTTTTGAAAACCATCCCTATGTCAAAGTATCCTTATTGTGGCACCTGAAAAGGGGGCCATCTTCTGTCCTTCTAAGTTATGGAATGCAATTGCCCATGAGCTAAATTTGGCCCCCTCTCCCTCTGTGTTTAGGAAATCTGTATAGACATTTCTCTTTTACCAGATTTGACATTAGATTATTTTAGCATTTTACTTTATAGATCATTTTAATCAGTATTTTAATTCTTTCTATTATATTTTTGTTTAAATTTCTGTTTATCACCTTGATAATAATAATAAATTAAAACCTAGTCAGTTGCCATCTGACTTGCATCTATCAATCCACTCATGTGCCTTATGATGGATGCTTCAAGATCTAGGCAGTTAATAGAGTATTTGGGTTCATAATAATTGCTCAGTGTAC